ATTAGCGCCATCTGTTTCAATCTTCTTTTCAGTATCTCTAATAAACTCTCGCGTACACTGAAATAGAGACAAAGCTGTTAATCCTATTCGATTTTCATTGCACTTTAGTACTTAATTGTGCTGCAACGCGATGTTGCATCCTCTTACACAAAAGTGCCTGCAATTGACGATCCTGTCTTCACTTAGTTCATACCTTTTTCTGATTGAAATCCCCGAGAAAAAAGGGGTCTATAGGAGAAAATTGCTGATCTTCAATTAATCGTTAGCTTTATCATCCATCACAACCAAAGCTGTAGAAGTGAAAGCTCCCAAGTTCACTGTCGTTCATATCGATTATTGTCGGTTTTCTTTACCAAGAAATTTGTGCTAGTGGACTTGAGAGATCTTATATTGCTCGATAAAGTTCAACTTATTTTATGCAATTTGCGGTTTACGTTCAATTTAACCGATGTGACGTTGACAGATTACTGATCATCAAGTTGAGCTCTACTACATGCATGGGAAAAATACTCCAAGCTCACCCTTTTCCCATTTCTTTATTCTGCTTGTACAAATTTCCGTTATACAACCACACCTACCAAGTGTTCACGTTGCTCATGCGTTAAATCTATTACTGCAGCAGTAGATTGGATTTTATAAATGACGTCTTTTCAATAGAAGATTTACGCACACTCAACATGCTATTTGAACATTTTGCAACTGCAAAGTAAAAACAAACCTTTAACGACATCTCCAAATTATGTCGCATTGCTTCCTGCTTTTTCAGTTCGTTACGCAGCGCTGTAACTTCGCTGCAACCATCTACAGATGACTGTTCCTATAAGCAAGCTATTCAGTAGATGATCCTAAATACAATCCATACTTCCAAACCTGTTTCGGCACTGTGCTTTTGGTAGCTTTGGGAACTTCAACTTCTTTCGATAAACTAACTGATTTAAATAGGTTGCAAACAAAATTCTGTGCGGCTCTGGATGTGTCGAGATCTAAAAAGGTCTTGCTGCGAAGAAATGAAAGTGAAAATTTTGGGAAACCTTTTGGAGTAGCCGTATCAGATTTAAATCGTTGAAGCAATGTCTCCAAAAGTAGTGGACGTAATTCTTTGGGAGCTTGCTCCAAGCGCGGATCATCTAGCAATAGTCGCACGTCATTAGCTGTTCGTAGTTCTGCTAGGCAGTCGGTCTAAATGTGACTTTTACTAGCTGACTGGTTACTTTAGACAACTTATTAAAAAGTTACGACCTCAAGAGAAGCCATTTTATACTTCGTTGCGAAGACAAGCTTCTGGAACAAATCAAACGACTGCTCTGATTCCTTTGTTTTTAGATAAAGTTCACATTTCCAAACAATATGCTCAACACCGAATCGGTGAGCA